AAGTGGTCTCCAACACATTTCCACCAAAAATGACTTCATACAAGGAACAATTTGATTTCTCTCAACTCAAAGTCAATGGGAAGAAGAAAAAGGGTGGAAAACCCAACCCAGATCATGTAGGTTTCTTGGGGTCAGATGAGTACATATAGTCAGTCGCCAAATGCTAAAAATCATATCAACAATATCCAATTGACAATAAAACAATTAGAGGTGTCCAGATCTGAACTCTCAATTTCTAGATATAACCCTTATTTCACTAGAAAATCAAAGGTTTTGCTGCCTATGACCAAAAATTGTTTGGTAATTTGGGTAAACCAACAATGCATCTAAAATGAAGAATTTGATTATGAAATTAAAGTGTTTCTATAGCAAGAACTACAAAATCAAAATACTTGGCTCAAAATCTCAGATTTAAAAAAGTACCACTAAAAAAGAAACTATATTAAAAAGAGAGATCGCAGTAGAGAAGAAAAAGAGGTTAGCAAAAGAAAGAGAGAAATTTTACCAAAAAAAAGAAAGAGAGAAATGAACGGCAGTACAAAGTTAGGTCATTTTGGCTTTTAGTTTCTATATTTATTGTGGGTAGATGGGAAGGGTAAATTTGAAAAAAAAAAAAGTTAATGCAGCATTAAAATCTTAAAACGTCAAATAATTAGGAACAAATTTTGGCCGCTAAAACGACTAATATTTAGCAACACAGGGAGTATCCTCTAATTATGAGTAATATTTGACTAATCGAACAGGGTCATTTCAGTAATACTGGCATGCAATTGTTCTCTTTTTCACGTATTAATTTGTTTCGCGGGACAGGTGTCATTTTTGTATGGGATGGGATCGCCTATAAATCAGGCACACAGTGCCTGTCCTTCTCCACACCAACTTCATAGCTCTCAAGGTTCCTTTTTCCATTTTTTTCCTTGGCCAAACAACTTAATGGCACAAATGAGTTGGGTTTCAACACAAACACTGCCCAATTCTTCTGTTTTTGGGCGTGGAAAGCTCACCTTACCACAACGTGTGGAAGGGAAAATAGGGTGAGGATTTTCCTGAAGAGCTGAAAGGTGCAGGAAAGGCACAAGTGATTATGTTTTCAGAGGAACGTGATAAGGGTCCGTTTGTGGTAACCTTATCGCTTCAAAAACTTGGGCAAGATGGTCATAGAGTGGTTCTCTTGGAGCGTGATTGGATGCCGATTGTTAGGGCTCTTGGGCTGAGAAAAGGAGACACTGTGAGTATTTTTCTCTTAAATAAACAGGCGTGGACTTATTTAATTACAGTGGAAAGGGCTACAGGTGAGGCGAACCAACCAAATCAACCGCTAAGAATGGAGTTTGACCTCAATGAACCAGTTCAGATGGAAATTGACCTGAACGAGCCTGTCCAACTGGACATGGAGAACAATCTGAACCAACCAAATCAACCGCCAAGAATGGAGTTTGACCTCAACAAACCAGTCCACCCCCAGAGCGACTGAGGCCACCAAGCTGACCCACGGCACAGCGCCGGCGCGCGGGAAGCGAATGGGTTGCGTTGGTTTGTAGTGTTGTTATCACCTTTGATTTGATAGTCAGTACGGCTTCCTTGGATTGAATTGCCTTTTTTATTTTTATTTTTTTATGTTTGGGATGGCTTGCTTTTTTTTTTATGATGTTTGGGATAGGTTGCTTTTGTCCTATTGTGTTTGCGTCTGATGTTATATTTATATATATAGATATGGAACTTCACCAAGCAACCTCATAACCGCGCGCTTTATTGAAATTGATAAATTGGATGGATTTCTTCTAAACTTTCATCAACTACGCACGTGGAAGTTTAATTAATTATTAGTTCATAACTAGTTTTCCAACTGAACTGACTAGAAAGTCCTCATCTGAGCCCCAGCTGTTGACCGACAATTTCTCAGCCGATCGACATTTACTCTTGCAATCAACTTGATCGGCGACGTGTGGTCGGCAGTTGCCGGAGATGATGTTGGAGATTTTAATTAAATAATTGCAAATCATTTGTGACCAAACGTTTATGAATCCACCATTTTTCAAAAAATTAAATTTGTACAGTTACAAACCCATGCTCTCTTGGATTTGTGCGTTTTTGTTTTGAAGAAAGGATCCATGCGTTTTTGTCTTATTGAGAGGACCCATGCGTTTCAACTTTTCAAATGGCTTAAAGCAATATTTGAGTACATCAGTTTCAAATATTATTTTGATAACCGGAAAAAACATTCATTTAAATTTAATATTTTGTCTCCTCCGGTTACATTGTAAAAGCCTATAAATAGGCAGCCTCCATTTCTACCAAAGAGATTTTTTTTTTTTGATACAATTTTATGATCTGCACTTTTATTTTACAAACACAATATTCAAACTCTCTTTAGGCAAGGAAAAGGCGATGGGGTAGAGCTTTCTTTACAAGAGTGCAGTACTTGTAAAGATACAACAAGGAGATTGGACTGTTGTATCCTGGGGGCGGCGTGACCATAAAAATCTACTGCACCAGTGACACGAAACGTCCTAAAGAGAGTGATTGATTTACGCCTCAGCTCAAACTCCTCATACTTTCGGTGACATCTTTCTAATTTTTTATTTTCATCTTTAATTACTTGTTTTTTTGCTAATCTTCTGTCTATTTTTTCTTCTATTTATTTTACGAGGAACAACAGATGACACCTAGAGAGTTCCGACCTCCACGGATCTAATGGGCAATGCCTGCCGGCGTATAGAAAATAGAAAGTGCCAAGTCTGCATTCCGAAATCTACACCCACCGTAATCGACCATACCAAGTGCCAAGTCTGCATTCCGAAATCTAAAATCAAGCTCGGGTTGTCGAGAATTTTTTTGCTTCCAAATTGTCTCTAAACTAAACACAGCCTAGGTGAATATCTCCGATCAGTTGTAGGAGATATTAATTTTAGTATTAATATTAAGTGAATAAATTTAATTAAACAGTTAATAAATTAATTATTAATTTTTATTTTTAATATAAATTTATAATATAAAAATATATTTAATCTAAAATCAAGCTCGGGTTGTCGAGAATTTTTT